AAGGCATTAATTTGACAAAATAACTAAAAATACATGTACATGCATAAACTACATAGTACCTGTAATTGGCGATGGCTCAGAATGGTCTTGATAATTTACTATAATGTAAAATCATAAATAAATTATACTGTAATATACATACTTTGCTCAACTGGTTGCGATGTCATTATATTGTGTCGGTCTCCTGTTATAAAAAAAATTTGTGCACATAATTAAAAAATTTCACTTAAAAAGTAAAAAGAGACTTTAGGTGAACAATATTTTCATTCACTAACTGATAAAATGAGCTCCTGTTTCACTGATCCTTTCTATTGCATTACACAATGTGCTCCAGTTTGCTCCTCCATTATCATCAACATCGTCCGTCCTACTCAACCATTTTGAAATGCAAGCCTTGAGACATGCTTCAGCTTCAGAATTATCCGATTTGATATTGTTCAGAGTACGAGAGCGTAATCCTAACTCCACTCCAAGACTATGCCAGCTTCTGTCATTAAAATCTCCATCCCTCAGATCATTGAGCACATCTTTTAGATTTCTGATTGTCAGTGTACTCTGAGATGCTATAGGTAGTTAGTAAAAGTGGAATGTTTTAAAGGTGGCTTTAATGTTAAAATTAAAGAAAAAAGTAAAATTAAATGCCAGTTAATTTTTTGCTAGTTATATTAATTTATAGTAACTCACATGTAAAGCATACAATAAAAAACACATAAAAATTTAGAAAATAAATAATAAGGGCAATAAAATATTTCACTTCTATGGTATACATTTATTCTGTGTACATACCTTGTCTTGCTGGTCTTGTTCCAGTATAAGCTACTGCTGGAGGAGGTGAAGGCTGTTGTTGAGAGCAAGTGAGACCTCTATACTTAGGCAAACTGAATTGATCTACAATTTACAAAAAATACAAAAAATAAAGGTACGTTTAACGGTGAAAATAATAGAGTGTAACAATACATGGAAATTTGGCAGGACGAATTTGGCACATAGTACTGGCACATGTAGTTCTTTTTTCTAAAACTTACTCACAAAATTTATTATAATCCAAACTGAACAGATCCCAGTTTAAAACAAAATAAAGTGGTCAATTTCCTTGTTCACATCATGACTAGACGTGTTCTTATGTTGCATAAAAAGCTTGAGCTTGTTCCTAAATTTTTTTACAAATTTTTAAAATTAATCCAAAATCGAATAAAAGTCCCTATACTAGAACATGGTCTTGGCCAAATTTCGCCAAAATTGAAAAAGAGAGAATTCTCCATTTTTATAATTTTCCCAATAGAGCGGTTGCAGTGACGTCACAATTACTTCCGTATGGCAAAAATTAATGAGCCTCATTCGTTTACAGCAGTAAAGTTGCTTCTTCTAGAACTTCTTTCATACAGCACAAGGCAGAAAAGGAGTATAACTAAAGCAGTAGTAAGCAAGAAAGTAGCGATAGCAATAATTACAGGAGTAACAAGGCAATGCTGTGTTCACTTTGGCCGCTTCACTGATTCTCTATCCGAGGACTTTTTGCTTCCTTTGCATCCCTGAGTCCGGGAAAATGAAAGAGCAGCATGAATTAGCCATGCTCATAGTTAAGGAAGCCTGCCAAAAGAGTTTATAGCGCTGTACAAATGAATGGCACAGTAGCCATTTTGCCATGCGGAAGTAATTATGACGCACGCTGTGACGTCATATGAAACCGCTCTATACATACATGTATACACATACTTATGTTGAGTAGAAATGATTCCGATCAAAATTAATTTTTTACGAATTTTAAAAGTTATGCAAAAATTGGGACAAAGTCCCTATACCATAGTACAGGATCATGGACCAAATTTTGCCAAAATGAAAAGGAGAAAATTCTCTATTTTTATAATTTTTAATGACGCACTACATGCACTTATGTTGTCTAGAAAGTTTGAGCTGATTCCAGTCAAATTAGATTTTTTACGAATACTTTATAAAAAATTGGCCAAAAGTCCCTGTGCCATTATAATACTTAATACGATAATAATACGTTAATACGATAAAACTTACAATCCTTTGCTATAGTTTTAGCTGCTTCCTGGACAACAAGATTTTCACTTTCGTGAAATATACAGAGGATATCATCCAGCGTATTGGGCACCACACCAACTGTTTTCTGAAGATTTGAAACGAGCTGGCTCGTTCTGTGCGCTAAAGACTGCCCAGTAAAAGTATCAAGGTAAGTGTTCTTCTCTCCCGGTGATATGATCTTCTGTGCGGCACATTTCTCGACTACTTGCTGAAAAATAGTTGAAGAACTTTGTAGGGCTTCCGATAGAGTGTGATTATTGCGTGAAATGGAGTCTTGGGCTGCTTTCTTTATAGCTTTATCCTCCGCCATCACAAAAACACACGAGGAGCAAGCAAGATCAACGAGATAACGAAGCTGAAGGTTGGTACTTATGGTATGATGGGGTTTACTTTATTTAACCCTCCAATTAACCCTTTAGCTCTACGATTAAACGGGCGCCATCTTGCTGTTGAATTTGTGCATAGTTTTGTACAATAGAGGTTTGTTCCTCCTCTCTTGCAGTCAATGGCTAGTCATAAAAGCGGAGGTGATATTGGTCAGCCCCTCCACTGGTCTGAGAGGGAGAGAAGGCTCTGGATACTAGTATTATTTATATGTTCAATACTTATTTATGCTGCCAGGTCCTCCCTCTCTGTATCTATAGTTGAAATGGCCTCAGAATTTGACTGGAATAAAAGAACGTGTGTAAGTGATGGGAGGAGACTCTCATTAGTAACTCCTCCTCTTTTGGGTTTTATAGTTTAATTATTTTAATTATTGTGGGTGTGGCAATCAATAATACGAATAGTTGTATTTTTTACATCCACTTCTCCCATTGACTATT